AAATTCTCCTTAGAGTGAAGCTGTCAGACTGGATATTCCTTGAGGTTGATAAAATGTGAGCAGTTCTCAAATTCATATGTCGAGCTGCTGTATGAATTAACGAAATTCTTGTTTTAATGGATTTTCCCATGACCATGGCAGAAGACATCAAAGCCATTGTTGTCTCCTGGCATTTTTGTAGCCAACGTAAACAGCATTGTTCAGAAAGATTCAATGGCTTTGAATGAAGAACTGCAGAAATATGAAGCCTTTGTATTAGCCAGAAACTTTTGTTAGGATTCTGACTCAACAAGCAGGAGTCTACCCAATCAAATAATGCAGACACAGTGTAGTTTTAGACTTGTTGGGGAAGTTTTTCTAACTCGTTAAAAACACAAAAGAAATTTCAAGTCCTGAAAAGAACTGATTTGTTCAGTGCTTCTTTTATAGGCTGCTGTCCAGAACATGAGTTTCAACCAGTGGCTATGTGAATACCAGTGACTAGAGTGGCCTCTCTCTTTATGGAGTGGCTCTGGGAAACGTAATTGTCACTTAGGATAAGCAGAAGGGGTGAGACTTAAGAGCATTTCCCTCCTCCATCAGCACTAACAAGGCTGTAGCATTAGAATGATACACTGTTAAATTCCAGTTCAGCCACTTATTAGTTTGGTGACTTTAGGGCAGGTAAATTAGTTGCTCTAAACCTTCATTTCATCATCTTTAAGTTGAATTCATAGCATCTACTGCATAAAGGTGTGGTGAGCATTAAATGCCAGAAGAGATATCCCATCTTTCAGTAATGTAGTAGTTAAATAAACATCATTAATAAATTAAAGCATTCAGCATAGTGCCTGGCATAGAGTAGTCATTCACCAACTATTAGCTCTCTTTCTCTAGATATCCAAAAAGCCAAATTGTATACCCATAGAGATGAGTCTTCTATGCATAGAGAAGACCAAAATTCTACAAGGTCCTTCGAAGGGTTACTATGAAGAACTGAGGTTGGTGGAATACAATCATAACTGGTTTATCACTGAACTGAATAATTAAGAGAACCAGAGTCATGCAGGGTAAATACTAGAAGTCAATGGACAGAAAGCAAGTTCAAAAAGACCCCCAAATCAAAGCTAATACCAAGAAATAATAACAATAGCTTAGTGCGTGAATGCACAAAACTGTAGTGGCAATCAGTGACTGGACAGCAATGTTTGGGTTCAGGATAGTTTTACTGACTCTACTAAATGGTATAAGTCACTTAAGAGATTTTTGTTTGAAAATATAGGCAGTGACTCTCATCCCAAGATGACAATAAAGATCCATGACATTGAATTGCCTTTAATATTTTACCAATGTCTTGGCTGATCGAGGTATTGATCTTCACAGAAAGGCAATCAACTAGGCTGCCAATGTAGAGGGCATTATGAATGTGACCCAAGCTCCCAGAACCATCTGAAGGGCATGAGGTATAGAAATGGTCAAGAAGCTGTAGAAATTCTGTATACCCTAAATATTTTCCTTGGCTTCAGAGATGACTGTTGTGGTCACAGGCAAGATGACGCTGGGTAGAGATGATATTCCAGAAATCAGGAAAGGGTCCTATCTGTTGTACTCTCATGGAGAGAAGTGAGGGAAGTGACAGCATGAGTCCTATGTGTTGTCATCTGGACAGAATGGAAGTGGTGAGAGTGAGCCAATCATATACTCCTCCCTAATGGTGCTTTTCAATGATCCAAGTCTATAGTCATGTGTTATGTTTCATCAATGGCAGTATATTCTGACTGTTGGGCTGAACATAAAGTATTGTAAAGGATGACTGGTTATGGTAAGTACCATGTTTCTGGATATGAGTGGAGGCAAGTAAAAAGACAACTGTAGGTATTTAAAAAATTTATTACAGCTATACACAAATGAGAACGATAAAGAGAAAAGCTGGCTGACTTTGGGGGTAAGGTTCCTAGAAACAGCAATCTTCAGTGGACTCGTTATGATTCACACTGCAGTGCTGACTTTGGCTAGTGAGAATCTTACTATTTTTTTACAGTGTGTTCAGAGGTAATTAGGATTGGGAGGATTGATGCTATTGAAATCCACAAGAAACTGATGTATGAGCCAAACACCAATTTATTCATTTATAATGAGAATTAATTACCAAATAAGCTAGAACACATCAGCTGGTTAGCAAATTTTCTCCCCATAACAGAGATTATATGGGAAAATAATTACAATTATATTCAGTGGAAAACATGGAGTCAGAGCAAGGGGAGTTAGGTGACCATCTTAATGGATAATGACACAAACCGCAATGACCTGGTGCCTCTACCCCACTGCACAGGTGGACATGCCAAATCATCTGCTGGTCAACATTTCATCTGAGTCTAGACAGATGACCAATGCCCAAAGTCTTTTTAATCGCTTCTTTTTCTATGTTCCAAGCATACCATCCTCCTATTAACAATTCCTTCTTCAGCTTTATCAAAGGATGATTAGTTCTACCTTGCTGGGTGGTATCAATCATGTGGCAGAGCTGCATCCCTAATGTTATGACCTTGATTGGACCTGGGGGCTCCCTAACTCTTTGCGGTTTGTGACTACATTTTTGAGTAGCTTATATTTCATCTGTTTCCTGTTGATTCGAATCAATTTCACTCTCAGGGAAATTCACATAGCTATAAATCCTAAGGACACACTGTTGTTATTCTCTTTATGGTAAGTAGTTTGTCATTCTAGTTGAAGTAGACAGTGTATGGTGGATAGTATCTCTATAACAAAAATTTAAAGTGTTAAATGATTGCCAGCTAGTAGGCCGTAAAGCATTATCCCAGCATCTCATTCATATGCTCAGTCTGGCTGTTGCATTGTATCACACAGTATAGAAGAGGTCTTTGATTGGCAGTACCTCAAACAAAGGGCCTCCAAAAGAAGGTGGTGAACTGAAGTTCACAGCGCTGGATATCAATCTTTTCCAGAAGTTATTGAAGTTTGCAAAGGGAAGCTCCAAACAGAAAATAAGGTAATGTATCTTTGGGAGAGAGCCTACACTGATGCCTGTGGCCCTAAGATAAGAACAGATAGATGATCAAACCAAGTGAATGCTCTTATAGGCATTCCAGGACCATATTGGGGTAAGGAAAGTGACTGGAGGCTATTGAGTTAGTCCTTCTTTACAGACTTGATGGAGATAGATTAGGGTACCTCCAGGTAATGTGTCACTCTAAGTTCAAATGGATCTATCTGTTAAAGGAGCTCATACAATCCAAGTGGGGATTTCTTGGCATAACTGGGTGTATATATTTGGGTTTCTTTGTTGTGGAAGCATATGGAGTAATATAGATACGTAGTAAGCTATTTTTAAAGGAGACACACTAAGAATGCAAATTAAGATTGGCACAGTGGTTAGAGAGGCACTGATGGATGAAAAGATCTGTTTGTTGGTCCTACAGCATGAGAGTAGTAAGGTCCTAGCTGGGTTTAAGTACTGCCAAAGTTAGCACAATTCTCCACAAATAAAGCCAAAAAAATAATGGCATTTCATGTTCTAAGAGGCCTTAATGTCTGCTAGGGAATGTGGGATTACTCATATTTCTTCAGGAGATCCACTATGGGGACATATACATCAGCAGCAAGAAGCAACAGAAGGCTGGGAATTAATAGCAAACACCAGCACCACTGGCTATCCTTAACATTTTAGGAAGTTGTGCCTTTCCAGCTTAATACTATTTTTTCTCAGAAGCATCAGGAATCTATACACAAAGCTTATGTGTGCCAAGAGTACAACACAAACAATCAAAACTCCACTTCTTGAGTTTTGTTCGCAGTTGGTGTTAATGTATTAATGTGGTGTTAATGTGTTAATGTGCCCTAGGATTTTTCAGATAAGATGACTGAGAAAGTTGTTTGCCATTCATTGTTTTTTAAGATCCCCAATTAGATGAGGGCTCCCAGAGGTGGTCCATGCAGGTGGAGCTAAACGACAACGAATGGTGATACTAGATGGTGACCACACTGAGGCGCTAGTGTCAGGGAGTACTGCAGCATCTGGCTGTCAGCCTTCAGTGCAGATTTATTTGTCTAGTTTCTCTGTCCAAGGCAGCAAGGACTTGCTACAGACACAATAATTATGATGGGACACTTCCCTCTATTCTTACTAAATACCTTTCAGAGGTCATTATCCTAGAACATTTTGACTTGGCCATGAGACATGCTGGAACCTCCAGTAGGGTTGTTGGGGAATAGGGGAGTAAGCTGGAATTGGTAGGGCTTGGCTAAAAATTATACATGCCTGAAGGGCTGGCCCTTAAAGAAGGCCTGTACCAACAGTTCCAAACAAAGTGTTCAAATGGTCATATGATCTGATTTGTCAATAGCCAAGAGGCTCAGCAGTGTTTGGGCAAGCACTAGTCTTTAGATGGCACAGAATACACAGCTGTATAGGAGGGTGGCAGACTTGTGGTTCCAGGAAGTTGGTTTATGTTGAAGTTAAATCCAGGCAATGGGTGGAGCATAATACAGCCTCTAGGAGAATGTTAGCAGGATATGGGAATGCAATTAGAACTTCAGGCAAAGGTCCTAAACCAACAGGGAACTAGGATACAGACCAATGAGAGTGAGGAGAAAGGCTCTGACTTAATACTAAGCACACAAGATATAGGACTTGGGCCAAAAAACCCAACCTAGATCTAACCCGTTGGTGAGGACAGCATTCCAAATGCACTGCTAGGGTTGTTTTCATTGACTCAGAACAAAGTTTTGCTTGAAGGCTTTCGGTACACTCGGGGTGTTGGTCTGAACTACAGAAAGTTCCTGTGACTTGTTCTCATCAGTGGATCATGTTTGGTGAAGTATCAGATGCCAGTGAACAAGATCTGATTGTTTAAATTCCCTCATGTATATCAGTTCATGACGACCTATTAAGTGATATCACATTCCCTCATCTGTATTTTAAATGTGGCTGCAGGATATAAATCGATAAGGCAAGAGGAAAGATGGATGTAAGTTTACAAAGTGACTTTCCTGGGATCTTCTTACTGGTGGGTTGTGTTATTTGTTCTTGTTGGGGTTCGAGAACGTTTGGCAAGGCAATCTCTTGTAAAGTGACCTGACTGGCTGCAGTAGAGGCACAACTGAATTTCTTGTTGGCGGGCTCGTTTGGCTGGGGTGAGAGGTGGCTGACTTCGTTGCTGTATAGGCTCTTCTTTAGGTGGCAGACCTATGGAGCTGGAGAGGGCTTGGTGGTGGATCAGGGGATCCCGCACTGAGAGCTGGTTCCCTGACTGTAAGAGCTCTGGTCTGTTACTATGTTTCTTGTCCAATTGAATGCACTGAGTGATCAGGTCTGGGAGGTTGTCCATCATATCTGTGATATCCTTTTCATGCTGGATGGGATCAGCTAGTCCCTCTTGGAACTGACCACTCTGATTGGTTTCATGAGAGCTTAGATTTTGAGCAAAAAGCTGGAAAGTAGTCGTGTCCTGTTGAAAGGAGTTATTCCCTTTGTCAACTTTAGTATTCATCAGAGGGTTCATTTCTTGTTTTGTGGAGTCACCAAATGATCTCTGGAACTCAAGAACAAAGTTCTCATATTGCTTCAGCAAAGTGCCTTGGTCAGGCCCAGACATGACCCCACAACTTCCTAATTGCTGAGACAGGTAGTCAAAAAAGAGCTTGGCCTGGGCATCATCTGAATGATTGGAGATCTGTAGAGCTGTCAAGTAGGTAGTCACCTGAGCAAGAAACCCTGAGAGACTGGCAGGGTCACCATGGAACTGGGTGAGATGCTCCAGTGAGCAGGGTACATTTATCCCTGGGGTAGCCAAGGCAGGCATGACTTGGCCTCTCAGAGCAGGGCTTTCCTTGGTTGAATGCTGCACTTGCGGCCGTAGAGTCAGATTCTCTGCCTGAGGAAAGGAAGGCTCAACCTGTAAGGTAGGTGGTGATTCCGTGTACTTTTCCATTATATCTCCTAGAATTAGGTGAGACGAAGTAGAATTGAGTACTAGTATTGGAGACCGATGGACAAGCAGTGGATTTTCTTGGTGATCAAAGAAGTAGCATCATAAATAAGTAGCCAAAACTGTTAGCCTAGAAGGAGATGCTACGGATGCTTAGGTGAATTGGAGAAATGCCAAAATTGATGTCTATTACTCAAGTTGCCTCTTCATGGAGAATGCCAATATCCTGCACATTCAAAAGAAAGAGATTACTTTAGAAAACAGAAGATTTGTAATTGACAGTAGTTTTCCCTCCCTGCCTTGTAAAATAGGGACAACTTGCCCTCAGACTAAACCTTGGTTCTAAAGTATCTATTTTCATCAGAGAATCAAAGAAGTTCACCATCCAAAGTGATTTTAAAGATCATTCAGGCCACACTGCTGGTGGGAATGTAAACTAATACGTTCCTTTTGGAAAGACATCTGGAGAACACTTAGAGAACTAAAAAGAGACCTGTTGTTTGACCCTACAATTCCTTTATTAGGTATATTCTCAAACGACCAAAAATCGCATCACAACAAAGATATTTGTATCAGAATGTTTATTGCAGCCCAATTCATAACTGCCAGGTCATGGAAGAAGCCCAAGTGCCCATTGATCCACGAATGGATTAACAAACTGTGGTATATGTACACCATGGAATACTATGCAGCCATAAAGAAAGATGGAGACTTTATGTCCTTCATGTTCACATGGATGGAGCTGGAAAATGTTCTTCTTAGCAAAGTATCACAAGAATGGAAGAAAAAGTATCCAATGTACACACCCCTATTATGAAACTAACTTATGCCTTTTATATGAAAGCTATAACCTAATAACAGCCTAAGAATACGGGAGGGGGGAGGGAGGGGGAGGGGGAATGGGTGGAGGGAGGGGGATTGGAGGGATCACTTCTGTGGTTTATCTTACAAGGGTACAAGTGACTCTAAGAGTAGAATATGAACGTTTTAATACAATAACTAAGAAAATGACATGAAGGCTATGTTAACCAGTTTGATGGAAGTGTTTCTGATTGTGTGTGAAAACACTACACTGTACCCCAGTGTAGTGTACCCCATTAATGTACATAGTTACCATTCAATAAAAAAGTAAAAAAAAAAAAAAAGATCATTCAGGCCAAATTTGTAATTTTAAAGATGAGAAAAGAGACCCAGAGAGGTAAAGATGTTTTCTCAAGGTCATACAGCTAGTGAACATCAGAGCTGGCACACTCACCAGGGCTGCTGTCTAAGATAGTGCTTCCTCCAGGACCACATATGTGCTCATTTGAATATAATGCTTGGGCATGATGGTGGTTCATATGCCTAATTCCTCAACATGTGATCTGAGAACACGAAGTATTGGTACCACCAGCAGGGTTGTTAGAAATGCAGAATCTTGGGTCCCACCACAGTCCTACTGAATCAGTTTTCACACTTTGACAAGATTCCAAAGGTGATTAGACTGTGAATTAAAGTTTGAGAAGTGCTGCTTTAGAGAGCACTGAACTGGAAGTAATCACTGGTTGGACTTGATCCTTGGTGCCCCAAGCTTAACCTGCATTGCTGTGAGGATCTGATTAGTGAGATGGTAGTTAATCCATTTTTTCTAGCTTCCCAGTCCCTGTCTGAGGTCACAGTATGTTGCCATGGAAATAATTAAGATGTCACAAGCAAGATGTAGAGGTAAGGTTGGGAACGTAGCAAACAAGAAATGAATATTCTTAAAAGTAAAAAGATCAAAATGTTCGGCAGTCTTTTCTGCATTGATAACAGAAAGAAAGCAACCAGTAAAGTTAAAACAATTCCCAAACACATAGCGTAGCAGTTGAACTATTTTGCACTTTGATTCCTCTCATTGCCTTTTCCTTGTGTAGTATATTATTTAAATGTATTTAAATTGTCCACAGGTATGTAAAAAATCTGTATCACTGATTTTTTTTAAATGTAAAACTCAATTCCCTATGTTTTATTTGATGGCTCTTTCTCTCTAGAAATAGGGAAAAAATATTGGAAGAGAAATAGTGTTAAGATTGGGGGTCAGAAACTCTGATCCAAATGCTAGCATTAATCATTTAGATGACCTTGAAGAACTCAATTGAATCTCAGTTTCCTTTTCTAGCTAATGAAAATGACTTCCCTGTCTACCTTGGAGGACTGTCCTATTAATGAGATAACAGGTAGGTAACCAAGCAGCAAAGAGTGAAATACAGTAGAACTTTCATAGCTTACCTCCACCCCCTACATTGACTACTTCCTTAAGCTGACCTAATTTTCATATACCTGAGATGCCCCACATGTATGTATCAGTACAATAGGCCTACTTCCTTCTGTTGACTACCTCTGTATGTTGATCAGTTTGTTACAGTCCCTTGGGTGGTCAACTTACTGTATGTACTTCCAAAATTGTTCCAATGCAGCTGAACAATGCTCAGTGGTAAGGCTCTACCCTTATAACATACTGCCAAAGTAAGGAAATACTGTCATACCCTCCTTTCTTTATTCTTTACCATACTTCACAGTTCTTATCTCCTGACCATTCTCATCTTCTAGACATCTTCCACTTCTCAAGTGCCCATCCATGAGATCATGCCTGCCATTCCAGCTCAGTGTTAACTGATGGCTAAGATATTAGTCAATGGTTAATGATTGGCCTTTCTCAAGGAGTTTAACTTTAATGTGCAAAAGAATCAATTTGTCCTAATCCCCAGCAATTCTGATGAAATAGAGCTGGGGTGGATCCCAAAAGTCTGTATTTTAACAAGCTGGCTGGTTGATTTCTGCTGCAGGTGGTTCCTATGCAAAACCCTGTCCAGATGAACCTCAAGGAATAAAGTGAAATTAGTCACATCAGAGACAAGTAGGGATGGGGAGAGAATATATTTAGCAGTAGGAAGTTGGGCCTCAAATGGCATAGAATGGATGGTACTCTATTCTACTTCCATACGAAGCCCACAAAGAGCTTACATGGTCTTTCACAACTGCTTATCTCTTCCAGGCTGGAGAATTCAAGAGTTAAATGTGTAAGTTCCAAGGTCAAACTGACTTGGATCCAAATTCTGCCTGAATAAAAAGTTACGGTACTCTGGGCAAGTTGTTTAACGTCCTTGAAAATCAGTTTCCAAAAATTAAAATGGACATAATTATAATACCTACCTCATAATGTTATGAAGATTAAATGAGATGAAAAGAGATGAGCACAATGTCATACATATGGCAAGTGCTCCATAAATGTTAGCTATCATTATTCTAGAGCCACAGTCTATTATCTGATCGTGTTTTAGAATTTAAAATAGATTTTTTTCGGGTTTTGAAAAGGTAACATGGAGTATATATGTTTATTACAAAACACCTCCAGTGATTCTTGGGGAAACATTCCATAATTAAACCATTAACATTCCTACAGAAAAAAAGTGATTATTCATCCAAAAAGGGATGAAGGCTAAGTTCATGTCAATTCAGGTCAAGTTCTGCTGCCAAATGTGTTCTGGCACCAAATTAATAAAAAAAAAAAAAATTCTTCCATTTTATAGAACTTTCTGATTTCATAATTGAGATAACAGATTGTGGACCTCTACCAAACTCTTCTTTTGATTTGAAGAGTAACTATAACTTTTACTTCCCTGTTCCTGCCTTCTTTTCTTTCCCATTACCCTCAGAAGCTCCAGAATCTCTGTTGAGATATTCCATTTCTTTACAGAATTAGGTATTCAAGGTGGCACAGCATTTAATTTTTCTAATTATGTAGCACTGGTAAAACACTTGCTAAAATTATAAGCATTAGTCCAAATGCATATCATATAATGGTACTGTTGTCAATGGCAATTGCTTAATCCCTCAAAGAAAATCTATCTCGCCTTATCATTTGGGAAATTGCTCTCCTCTAAAAGGTCAGCGGCCTTCTATTGGATTGCCCAGAGGATTCTGGGGTAAAGCCTACCCATCTGGTGGAGTTCCAGACCATGCCCTTGAAGAGACAAAGCAGAGACAGAGCTGGAACTTCAAATACACAGGCTTAAGAGATCAGAAGTACGATGTTGGACTAGGTCTGACACAAAACTGCACACTTCTAAGCTTTTATTTAGAGGGTATATATTTCTGCTACAAAGAAAACAACAAAAAATGGGGTTAGTAAAGTATTACAGGCCATTTTAGTGTTTGTGTACAGTTTGGCTCAAAGTCATGGTTAACAGTTTCCCTGAACATAAATGTACTCCACTCTAGACTCACCTGAGTCTCCCTTTGGAGAGAGGCCTGCAGTACCCTGTTGCTTATAAAAGAGCACTGTGACCCCACACTGCTTTAATTTGAAGCTTCTCTAAGTAAACATTCGGGGGAGGAACTTTGACCTAGAGTTATGCAACCACCCAGAACAGTTGTACTTTTCACTCTTGAGCTCTAGACCAGCAGTTTCTCAACCTATGGGTCATGACCCACAGAAACTGCATTAAAGGGTCGTGGCATTAGGAAGGTTGAGAACCACTGCTCTAGACCTTTGAAGGAATGCTGTGGCCACAAAAGCTAGACTGAGACATAAATAACCCTCAGGAAGTGGCCAGAGGGAAAACTGTTTGGACTTGTCTGGAGACCTGGTGAGAACCTAGCTCTGCCACCATCCAGATTGACAACCTTGGGTGAGTCTTCTCTCTGGGCCTCAGTTTCCTTATCCCTACAAAGAAGGGACTGGGCTCCTCAATCTTCACCACACATAAGAAATTCTGATTCGAGAGCACTGGCCCAAGACCCAGGAACTGAATTTGTTACAGGTACTTCAAATGATATTGAGATAAGAAGTCTTCAGATTTTACCTTGTAAATATTGTGTGATTGACCACACAGAGCTCTAATATTTGCTAGATTCTCAGGACTTAGCGTGAAAAGCCTTGGGCTTCACCCCTGGAGAGTGTGATTCAGTGGGGCTGGGGGGAGGAGACTCTATAATCTGCATTTTAATCAAGCTCTGCATATGCTGCTGATATGGACATT